CACTGTGTTCCCAGAAGGTGTTGCCATGGCCTTGGCCCAACCCATCATCTGCTCCGTCCTGGAATATTGTACTGACTTCCTACCAGGTCTCATGTGCTTCTGCCCTTGTTCCTCCCGTGGCCTGAGTGATAGCACTACAGCATCCGGTCACGTCCCTTCCTTGCTCACGATCCCCTAATGGCTCCCAATCTCACATGGAGTAAACTCCAGAGACCTTGCAAGAGCTCCAAGGGTCTCCTTGTGGCCTCTGGTTACCTACCTACTGCCCTCATGTCCTGCTCTTGTCTTCCCTGGCCATTCCAGCCATACCGGCCTCCTTGCCATTCCTCACACATGCCAGGCATGCTCCCACGTGGGGCCTCTGCGCTTCCTTTTCTCTCCACCTAGAAGATTCTTCCCCGGATCCCTACGTGGCCTCCCTTGCCCCATCCTTCTTTTGGTCTCTGCTTAGTTGTTGCCTTCCCAGGGACATTTCTTCACGACTGCAGGTCCTCCTCCCGCCTCCAGCGCTCACCACCCGCTTTCCTCACTGGTGTTTCTCCTGCACTTGCCACCTTCTAACAGATTATGCAATTTTCTTAAAAAGCAAAAACCAAAAAGCCTGCTTATTGTTTGTGTCTCCCAACTAGAATAGAAACACCCAGGCACGGTGTTTTTGTCTGTTTTGTTTCTGTTTAATCTCAGGGACGAGACTAGAAGGTGCTCGCTCCATGTCCGTGAACTGCGTGACCACAGGTGGAGGGGGCCGGACGAGGTGCGCTTCCGAGGCGAAATCACTGTACCGTACCCGTTCTTCCATCAGTTTCCGGGTTTTTGAGCAGCGCCTCACAAGGCAGCAGGGCGACATGCTGCAGGAGAAAGGCCCTTTGTGGAGTAGTCAGTGTGGCTGTAGTGAAACCCGAGGGCCCCGGAGACCAAGTGGCTAATGCTGCTATTTATAGCTGGGATTCCAGTATATGTTTTCCAGCCACACTTACTCCTTTCAGCCTCCCCAGTACGCTCAGGTCTGTCACTCAATTAACTAATGGTTTCTTTAGTCCCATTATGCATTGTAGGGCTCCCCTGGCTCAGGTATTTTTTTCAAAGAGAATAATGGGGAGTTCTGTTCTCAGAGGCTTCATTTTTTAATAGCCGTGCCAATTTAAAAAAGCCCTTTTCCAACTTTTTTATTATGAAAATTTCAAACCTACAGGAGAATGGAAAGAGTAATACAGCGCACACCCAGAGGCCCTCCACCTAGACCTTGCTAGCACGCTGCTGCCTTTGTTTTGCCGACACGTGTGAGCCTGTGGGTGTGTGCATTCTTTTTCCTGACCATTTGGAGGTAAACTGCAGATACCATGGCACCTCATTCCTAAAAACTTCAGCGTATTCTCCTATAAAACCATCTGAGAATACTTGCATAATTTGCATCTCCCGAGAATGACATTCACGTTGAACCTCGGAAAATTAGCAGTCGTTTCATACATCATTTAATATCCAGTCTGGATGTAAATTTCTCCAGTTGCCCCAGGAATACTTTTCAAGCCGATGTTTGGTAAAACATTGCATGGCATTTGGTGGTTATATTTCTTTAAATCTAGAAGAGTCTCCTTGCCCTTCTTCTTCTTTTTTTTTTTTTTTTTTTTTTTTTTTTTTTGGTAAGTTTTTAAAGATTTTAGTTATTTTGAGAGACAGTGCATGGACCGGGGTGGGGCAGAGAGAGAGGGAGAGAAAGAGAATCCCAAGCTCCTCTGCGCTGTTAGCACAGAGCCCCACATGGGGCTCAATCCCATGAACCATGAGATCATGACCTGAGCCAAAATCAAGAGTTGGGTGCTTAACTGACTGAGCCACCTAGGTGTCCTTTTGCCCGTCTTTTTAGAAAAGAAGCAGTGTAATGACATTGTCTTTTTGAAGAGTCCAGGATATTATATATGTTTCCCATATTCTGGATTTGTCTGATTGCTTCCTCGTGGTATTGTGAATTTGTTTCTCTGTCCCTATATTTCCTGCAAATTGGGAAGGAGATTTAGTGGGTTAGTTGGATTCAGGCTAAATGCTTTTAGAAAGAAGACTTGAAAAGTGATGTTGCGGGGTGCATGAGTGGCCCAGTCGGTTAGGTGTCTGACTCTTGACTTCAGCTCAGGTCACTATCTCACAGTTGGTGAGTTGGAGCCTCTCGTCAGGCTCTGCGCTGACAGCTTGGGGCCTGCTTGGGATTCTGTCTCCCTCTCTCTCTGCCCCTCCCCTGCTTGGTCTCTATCTCTCTCAAAATAAATAAACAATAAACTTAAAAAAGTTACCTAAAAAAAGCGATGTTGTGTACCTCATCCTGTGTCACGTCATGAAGTTTGTGTGTCGGGTGGTCTTGCTGTTAGTGATGCTTCATTTGATCACTTGGCTCTGACAGTGATGGCCAGAGGTATCTCTGACTCTGTCTCTCTTTTTAGCGAATAGAACAGTGGAGCATTATCGTCTCCCAAGTTTTGTTGAAGGGGGAAAGACGTCCCTTCCCACTGGCTTTTTTTGAAGATAAAATGTATTTCAGGGCATCGCAAGGTAGCTTTTGAGCCTACTAGTATATAATGACTCTACTGGACATGATTAATGGGTAAACAGAAGAGAAGAGCTAAGTTGGAGCCTTGAGATGAGACCATGTAGAGAAAAAGTCAAGTTACGCCTGTGGCTTCTGTCAGAGGACCATGGCAGTGTGACTGTCAGGAGTTTGAAATCAGCAACAAGAGGCCTGGGCCGCCTCTGCCTTCCCGTTGAGCATTATCATCCCTCCAGAAAGGAGGGGAAGACATGCCCACACTACATTTGTAAAGTAATGGCCTTTGAGGCACTAAGAAAGGAATCACGGAACCCTTCTGGAATACTCAGCCCAGCATATTTCCAAGGCTGGTGTGCTGAATCCAAAAGGATGGGCATCTTTAGGAAGTGTCCTGGAAACAAGATGAGAAAACGTTCATCTTCTAAGTAGCTCACCTTAGAAGACTTTTTGGAGTTTGTTGCTGCAACCCAGAAAAGGCTCCAAAAGGTCAAGGGAGGCGCAACTTTGCAGTGAACGAGGTAGACCAAGAGAACTGGGACTCTTCAGCCTAGAAACAGGAAAGTCAACAGGGAGATAATAAAAATGACAGCTTATTAGGAGCCCATGGGGTGCTCCTGTTTTCCACATGGGGAGACTGGTGCTCATGTTAAGTAATTTGCACAACGCTACAAGCACCACGTAGTAAAAGTGAGATTTGAACCCAGTCTCCCTGGCACACGCCCCTCCTGGACTCTGTGCTCCACTTGGGCCCTGGATCTAGGCATAATAAGTAGGCAGACACCCTTGACTTTTCTTTTAAACAACAATAATAAACGTTTGTTGTCTCCTGGTTTCAGTGGGTCAAGATTTGTGAGTGGCTGAGCTGGGAAATCTGGCCAGGGATCTCTCATGAGGCTGTAGTCCATACATTGGCTGGACCATAGTCATCTGAAAGCAAGACTAGGGCTGGAGGCTTGACTTCCGAGGTGGCTCATTTGCATGGCTGGCAAAGGGTGCTGGTTGTCAAAAGGCCTCCGTTCTTTCCTGACTGCTGGACTTTTGAAGGAACTAGTTTTCAGATTACAAGTGTTATTTTATATAAATATTTGGAACTCACCAAGTTCCTGAGTGAAAGTGACCGAAAATAGCAACAGACTCCAAAGGATTTGGAGAGATCCATTTCAGGGAAGAGAGATTAAGGTAAGGGAGAGACGCTTAGGAGAACTTGAAAACCCAAAGGGTGACTGGTTCCCACATTATTATAGTAGATCCTGATTTCATCCAGACTTTTCCTAAGTTCTTAAAGGACTGTGTCTGTATTTTGATTTGGGACAGGCTTTTTTAGTTGGGGGGAGAGGTTGTTTCTAGAAAGTGCTCACAGAGATACTTATTTATGCATACCCTGCCTTGTTCTAGAGGACCAGGGAGATAGCTTAGAATAATCTAGTGGCAACTCAGAGATAAAATAAAGTGGCGGTTTGGTGGGCGGTGGGTGGGGAAGGAGGTTGGAGTATGTGGCTCTTTTGTAGTCTGGTTTTGTAAGATGTGGGAAGGCCCTTTGGAAATCCTCATAAACGCTGCTCTCTTGGTAATTACCGAATGGCTCCCGAGCAGTAACTGGGTGGAAGCTGCTCTGTGTGGCCGGGCCTGCTGGTGGGGAGTCGGGGGGCGCTTGTGCCGCAGTTTCTAGCCCACGTAGGCTTTGGGGCATCTGCCTCGTGTCAGTTTGTTCCTTTTTTCTGCTGTGGTTCCGCGATTCTTCTTGTTTGCCCACAGGGCTGACTTTGCCTGGTGTCCCAGGGGCTGGGTGACTCCGAGGTGCCTTCCCACCTCGGTTGTAGACCCCCCTTTTTGGCTGGTTTATCCTTACGGACTAACCCAGGGCCACGGGACGATTGTGGAGCTGACTCACCTTTATTAAACTTTCATTGCTTAACGTTTTTTCCTCATTTCAAAGCGAGACCTCCTCAGGAGTGAAAATTCAAAACAAGTAATACTTTCTAACACAAATAAGAGAAGAAGCCCCTGCAAATCCTTCATCTAGAGATGACTCCTGATGACACTGCCTCAGGATCTCCTGACCTGTTTCTCTTTTTTTTTGCCACCATTGTCTGTCTATATGGGCAGGGGGGTTGCTGGCTTGTGACTCCTTCCTCCGGATGCCACAATTTCTCTTTGCTCTTCTCATGGTCCTTTGAATACAAGCAGACAAAGAAGTCATGGAGAAATTAGGTAGCTAACCCAATGATACAAAATGTTTTGAAAAATAGGAGTACAGCCTTTTCCCACCCATCTAATACAACAGTGATGACGATTAGACCTCTTCCTTCCCATTCTTCTTTCCACGCCCCGAGGCAGATTTAAAGATGCAGGAAAATGTTGCCGGGGACGCCAGAGTAGGTTAAATGAGGGCTTACAACTTACCCAGTCTTAACGTGGGGTGCATTTGCTCTACTCCATCCCTGTTGCTTTTTGTGTTCAACAGTGGAGAACACGCAGCTGACCCTGAACCTGCAGACGGAGAACAAAGGCGGTGTTGTCTCGGGCGGTGAGCTGACAATTTTCCTGGACGGGCCAACTGTTGATCTGGGAAGCGTGCCTAATGGCAGTGCCGTGACAGAGGGTGAGTGCCGCCCTGCTCCCCAGGGTTGTGCCGGGATGGGGCGGGGCAGGCCTGGGTGGGAGTAGGAGGAGGTGCCCGGGGCTTGGTTCTCTACCAGGTACCTGGGTTTGGGTACCGCTCAGCCAGTCCTGGCCCCCTGATTCCTCTTAAGCAGTTCTTCGCATGATCAAAACTGGGCCATGATTTTTTAAGGATAGCTTTCTGATAAAGGACGAAAATAAATGCCAGGTCTTTGTAAGTGTGTTGTACTTTGCGTTGAGAGCAGAGAAAATATCTTTTCATCCCACACGGGCTCTCGAAAATAAGATGTCTTTATTAAATGTTACTTGGGGCCCCTTTTTCCTCCCAATACAGTTAAACTTCCTGGAGGAGCTTGAAGGTGTCTTTTATAAGACAGTATTGGGTGAGAAAGGGGGCTGTGTGTCTTAGAGATTCACACTAGCAAAATAGAGACAGAGGCAGGAAAATTGGAGTATCTCCCACTCTGTCCTGAATGAGGGCAGTTTGTTTCTTTTGATCTACTCTGAAATTAGTCACCTTTGGATCTAGCAGGAAATTATTTCATGAAGTCTGAGGTCTGAGATGGGCTGGGTTTCTCCATAATTTTTCTCGTTAAATGTGATGTAACTGTGGCACTTTCCAGGCCCCAAACAGGCTTTCTGTAGCTTTGAGGGAGTGAGATTTGAATTCTAATGCAAGGGCAGTAGGGTGGAATCTCAGTGATTGGATGGGCCTTGACTTGAGAAACCTCCCTGGACTGAGTGGTGCTTTGGGTACTTTTGGTGCATGGAGGAAACATGAATTATTCGCTCATTCTGCACGTATATCCGTAATTGAGCACCTGGTATGTACTAGGTCTTGGACCAGGTGCTAGCCAGATGGTGGGGGCAAAATTCATATGGTCTCTACTCCTAGGAGCTTCTGATTTACTTGGTGGAGGTGGGAATGTTAGACATGAAACAAGGAGGTGCAGAAATAATTATGTAACTGTAATTGTGACCAAAGCGATGAAGGAAAAGTACTGGGTGATATGAGAGTCCCATACTTTCGGGAAGTCTCACTTCAGCTGGGGACCAGGGAGGGTTTCTTTGAGGAAGCTGAGACCCGCCAGAGCTGAAGAGATTAGACGGGCCGAGGGGGAGGTGTGGGGAGGTGCAGGAGTGGGGTAGCTGAGTGAGAGGTCGAGGGGTCCCTTGTGCAGAGGCTTCAAGGTGGGAGAGAGCTCAGCCTGCAGTGGGAACAGAGGCGGCCAGGTGGAACGTGGAGAGCAGGAAGGAGAGTGGTGGCTGGTGAGGCTGCAAGGGCAGCTCGGCTCAGACCACCCAGCCGCACGAAGGCCTTGGTGAGGACTTTGGACCTCGTCCTAAGAAGCAGAAAGCTGTTGAGGGGGTTTTTAGCAAAACGGTGTCATAATTTGATTTGAATTGAATCTGATTTGGCTTTTTAAGAGCTTTCTGGTTGTGATATGGACGAGTGCAGTGCCCTAATTACTTGCTCCCACTTTGCACGGTCAGCATGGGTTCTGTGTCTCGTGTGGTGCAGCTGAAGTTTATTCAGTGCACAAGGCAAGTTGCTTGGAAGTGCTTGAGGTGTTCTTGAAGGTCTTGGAGAAGAAGAGCTGTTTCCCAGGTTTGAGCGCCTCTGTGTGGGGGCCCCAGTCAGATCTCATCTGGCTGTCCCTCTGCCTTTTCGAGCTGGAGGCTGTGGCTTGCTAGGTGTGGTGGATAACCCGAATGCATGGAGTGAACTTTGTTCCTGAGCCACAATCTCAAACAAACCAGGGCTGAGCTTCTCAATGTTTCTGTCTTTTCTTGTGATGGGTCCCCTGTCTAGGATCCCAGCCACCTTCAAGAGAATCCAGCGGGACAGCTGTCGCTCCAGACAACCGGCACCAGCCCCCCAGCACAAACTGCTTTGGTGGGAGATCTCGGTAAGACAACCTCCCCAACCCCCCCCCCCCCCCCCCCCCCACCCCGCCCTGCCCCGCTTGTGGACAAGGAGGAGCTGGGAAGGTGCTCAGAGCTATTGGAAAACATGTTGGGAGGTGGCGAGGAACAGTTTATGTTAGAAACTGTTGGAAATTTCCAGAGGGCTTATCCCTGACTCAGTGTGTTAAGGAGGTGCTGAGGGGGGAGTACAGAACTCAGGATTCTCAGAATGGTCAGGGGTTCCTTGTCAGAGATTGGGACTGGCTAAACTGGTTATTTGGTTAAGAGCCGCCAAACAGAGCTTGGCTAGTGTTTTGTGATTCAGGGTCAGCGACCACAGTTATCCTTTTAGGATGTACATGCAAATGTTTAGAGCAATGGTTCTTTGTATGTGAGATTTTCTGTCTGTGCATTTCTATTTTTGGGGGGTGATCCATGGTTCCCTTTGGGCTATTGATTAAGACCTCCTGAACTGGAAGCCTGAATTATATTATACTTATTATACATATCGAGAGTGACTTAATTTACTGCATGCCTGTCTCATACCTGTATTAATGGTGTGAACTCATTTCCTTGGCAACTGAATTCCCAGAGAGGAGAATAGTTTTAGGTATATTAGAGAGGTGGGGAGGAGGGAGTTGGGAACCTGTTTTTATTATTTATCACAGTGTATAAAACCCCCAAACACTTTAAGGAAATTATAAGGAAAAGAATCATATGAGTGCAGTTTGTAAATTGTTATTACCTGCAGAGAGTAGATAAAAAACTAGTAAAAATCTTCTGGAACAAATCCCAGGGATTGGGAATAATGCTTTGAGAAACACAGTATGATTTCAGCCAGTACCCACAGCGTCTCAAATGATCCCTCTTATGACAGCCATCAGCCTCACTGGATGTGGTGGTTTTGAGGGTCTGTACAGTTTCGGTGCCAGGCAGGTGTCAGGAGCAAGAGAGGGTCAGATGTTTAGATCTTTTGTCTGTAGCGTCACTGGAAGCCAGGGTGCCATTTTCCTGTTCTCTTTTCTCCAAGCCTCTGCAAAGGTGTTACCTCCCACCCTGGAGACCATTCACTTTTTCTCGACTCACTAGATGAGTTATAAGTTGGGATAAACAGGCAAGTGTCACAGGGTAAAGACCAGTGATATAATTGGCAAATTTTGTGTCAACAGAGGCCTGAGGAGCACCCAGAACTAGAGAGAACAGAATCTCTTTGGTAGTGAGCAGCTGGCGGAGAAGAACACCTCAGCATATCACCCGCTGAGAGCGATGCCTTCTTAGCTTTGGCACTAGTAGCTGCCATCTTGGTCTTTCAGCTGACTCGGAAAGTTTGTGTCATATGTGACTGATGTCACTTATTTGGGGGCTGGAAGGCAGAGTCTGGCTCTTAGTAACTTTGGAATTAAGTTCTTGACCTATTTATTGCTCTCTGAAGTTCTCTAGTTAATCTCGAAATTCACATGTCCTAGTAGCCCTTCTTTGTCATTGTTAGTGCTGAGGATTACTGTCTTTTAAGGCAGCAAGCGGACTTCCAGCAGAAAATTGGATGCATTTTTGCCCATCACACATGGTAGACATTCGATTCTGGTTAATTATTGGTGGGCAGAGTGCCTTCCAAGTAGCTGGGGCCGTGTGGGCATCCACATTGGCCTGCTAAGCTCCTGTAGCCTTTTCTACACATGGCCTCTGAGTTTTCACAGGCCTCTGCCTTCTAAGTATTTATTCTGTGTTCACATGGAGCCTGCTGCCGTTCAATAGCAAACACTTGTGAAAGGATCATCTGAAGGCAGTGTCTTCTGTGTCCCCGAGAACTCCTTTCCCCCGTTGCTGCCGCACTTCAGGAGATGGTGTGCACGAGCAGTGGTAGCGGGGTAGTTGACTGGACAAGGGTGCGGGGCTTTGAAATCAGAAAATACAGATTGAATCCTGGCCTCTCATTTACTTGCTGTGTGATATCGGACGAGCGGCTAAACCTCTCAGCACCTCAGTTTTTTTCACATGTGAAATGGGGCTATCGCCTGCCTCAAAAGCTCATTGTAGGAAATAACGGAGATGGGCTATGTCAGTGTGAGGGCTTGCCTATGGGGCGTGCTCAGGGAGAGTGGTGGGAGGTTCCTTTGCTCTGGAGAGTCTGTTGTATGCCCCTCCTGACCCCCAAAGCTGGGAAGTGTGGCATGGCTGATTATTTTTGCATCAAGGACTGTAGTTAGGAGGGTGATGAATGAAACCTTCAGGATTCAAGGACAATCCTCCGCTGTCCTTGGTTTCCTGGGGCAGGGAGGATGGGCTTCTCCCTGCTGCCTCTGGACTAAATGTTTAGCCTTTGCTGTCTGACGGGTAGGTTTTTCCTGGACTTGGGGGCCACTCACCATGATCAAGGATGCTCTGATGTGCCCAGAAAGGTTAAGACTGCAGTGTCAAACAGCTGTTTCCTCTCCTTTCTCCTACTTTATTAAGGTTTAGAACCAGAACCATGTAAGGGTTTTACTAAGAGGTTCATCTACCCAAGTTCATCCAGCAAAGGGACCATTTGCTTGCCAAGCATGACCTCCAAGCTCTTTGAGTGGGATTTATCCACTCTTTAAGAATAATTGGGTGAAACATCTCTAGTTATTTTACCATCTGGTCTGCCACATGGCAGCCAGCATGGGATTGCCACCAACGACCCATGTGGCATAACTTGATTTATAGACACACCATATTAGTGTGCAGTGCGTGGGTCTGGTTGAATAAAGAATGCATTAATGTCATAAATTGTGTGTAGTCTTAGAATGAAATATTATCCCATAGTAAAAATGGGGTGAAAGATAGTTGCCTCAATATGGGGGAATCTCAGAAACATAGTGTTGAACAAGAGGAGCAGGCCACTGGGGGGCAAAATATAGTATGATGTAATTTATATAAAGTTAAAAAATGTCAAACTAAACCACATATATTTTTTAATGGATACCTCCATGGGGAGTAAAGCACTAAAAAAATGAAAAGGAATAATTAGCCCTGAATTCAGTAGAATGGTTATCGTTGTAGGGGCGGAGATGGGTAAAGTAAGGAAACTTGGAAACTTCATGGCATCGTGAATGTGGGGGGTGGGTCCTCGAGTGTTCATCTTCCTTTTCTTCTTAGAACCAAACATATATTTAATATGTTCCTTTGTTTACCTGGCATATTTCACAATAAAAAAGTAAAAAGCAGCCTCTGTCATCCTGAGAAAACTGACCAGCGATGGTATTAGGTTGGAGAAACTGTTGTTTGTTGTTGAGGCAGACAGATTTCAGAATTTAGGATTTCTCCAGGCTCAGTAATGACCACTTACTTCTTCCGTGCAGTCTGGCTTTGTAACATTGGCCAATGATTCTAAGTCAGTGATCCACATTGGCCTCAGAGGTTATGCTCCTGTCCTGTTCCAACTCTCTCCCAGGCTTGAGAGCTGAGTTTGGGAGTTGGGGGAGTGGGTTCCAGATGAAGGCTGGCCACTGCCAGGTAACGTGTCAGAACGGCACTAATCTTGGTGGGCTGAGAGGGCTGGTCTAACACTCCTCGGCGTTTGACTGGAGTGGGGGCGATTACGTGGCTTACCCCGGGTTCTGTCAGCGTGCCATGCTACACTGCATCCTCAGCCAGTGTTCCTCATTCCAGTCCGACAGTGGCGAGCGCCTGGTGTGCAAAGGAGCCCCCTGGGAGAGTGTGTGCTGGCTGGCACAGGGAGGGCCTACCACACCCTTTAATAATCCCCCAGCGTTTATTTTATTTTGCTGGAATGAGGGCTGGCTTTGGGAGCCATGCCTAAGTCAATTCAGGTTTTGAAGATGTGAGATGTGCCTGGTGCTGTGCACACATTGCACGCGACACGGCTTCTACTTTCCACGGCGAGGTCACAGTCTTTGTGATATACGTACGGGTTGTGTGGGAAACAAATAAACCATGAGCATCACGGGAAGTTCAGAGAGAGAGGTCTGTGTGTGGAGAGGGAAAGACCAAGGACAGAGTGGAGGGGGCATCTGCAGAGAGACTGTCGTCTGTTGTCCGACGGTCCCGTGCAGTGTCTTGGGAACTATGGAAGGGGCGAACGGTGAACCACAGAAGCCAGCAGCGGGGCATACGTGCAGGGAAAGAAGGGGGTCCGCACCGGTAGTGGCAGCTGTCGTCAGAGTCACTGTTCGGTTAGAAATGGGCGTGAGATTCGAGACTGGAGAGTAGACAGTCAGGATGTTTGAGTCCCTCCGTACTTGGCTGATGCGTCGTCACCTGTGAGTTTTTCCCCGTGCCACGGTTATATGAAGTCAGGGAGTTGAGGTGCAGCCAGCTCCCGGATGACCCGCAGGGTGGTGTGTGAGCAATGCCGCTCCTCTAAGCACAGCCTGAGATTTCCTCCGACTTGGGTACCTAGCCAGGAGCCCCTCTAGATTTGCCACAGTTACGTAGGGAAATGGGGAGACCAAAAGGGAAGAATGCACTGAACTTTTTCATTAATAGGTCTGAAGACCGAAAGAGATCTTTTTGAAGGAGCTGTAAGGGGGCTTCGGCAATTAATTTTCTTTCATTCTGTGTGTACATGTCTGTTTTGTGTAAGAGCATGTGTGATCATGCATGAATGTATATGCATATGTGTGTTTGGCGTGAAGGGATAGAAGCCTTGAATTTGCTTATGTCCATCATCAGCTGTGAGTGTTGGCCAGCGTTGGTCAGAACCTGCATTTTAACGTGCTTCCCTGTGATTCTCTTACGTGCAAAAGTTTCAGAACCTCTTGTGATAGAATTTTAATCCTCTCTCCTTTCCTCTTTCTCTTTTTATCCTGCTTTGATAAAAATATATCAAATTTATGGATTCCCGTGCCTTGGCATTAATGACCTCTGAAGATTTAAAAGAGCTGTAGTCTCAAAGACTTACAAAGCCCCAAGGTCTCTGGTGAGCTCTAAATAGCTCATCAGCTGTGTCTGCAGACAGCCTAGCCCAGAAAGGAAAGAAAAATAAACTCAAGCAGGCGTGCATCTGCTGGGAACGCTG